CTGTGAAATATCATATTCTCATCTGTTTATTTTTGTAAGTAATGATTATGCAATCAGTTCACTGACCATGAGAGTTTTGTGGCTAAATATCAAACATGGGCTGTAAAAATTCACCTTACGTAGCCCTTTATTTGAAAATGGAAAGCTGAAAATAGCTTGAAGTCTGGAGAAGGGAAACCTGCAATTCCTCAGGCATTCTGAGTAATTGTAGGAGTTCTAATTGAAAACTTCCTCATCCAATGTGACCTTGCTTGAATTAATTGGTTTTGGAATTAGTGCTGAATAGTTCCGTAAATGTGGAATTCTCTAAAGTTTGCTCATTGCCAAGCAGAGTCCAGCTGACTGAGAAAAGTAAAATGGCCCAAAGACAGTTTTCAAAAAATAAAATGACCCAAAGTCACTTCATCTTCCTCAGGGAAGTCTTTAGCAGGCATGAGCTTATTTGATCTACCTACTATGAATCAGAAAAAGAGGTGCATGCACAACTGAGAGAATCATTAGGATTGGAAAAATCTGACAGATTGCATTATGCTACATTTTCTAGAAGAATTAAAAATTTTTATGCAGTATACTGGTAACTTAAGGCTAGTAACTCTGTTCCCTAAATCCAGCAATGCTTTATGCTAAATTTCTCTCAAGATTACCGCAAAATCCCTGAAGTGGGAGAAATTACTTTGGACTGACATTTAACATAGGAGAGAAATCCAGGATGCCTTTATGTACCCTGACCAAGTCCCCATTGTGCTGAAGTCCATATATAGGTGGATTTTTTTATCATTAATCCATTCATTTATCAATAATCCAGTAAAAAAATACTGTTATAGCCAAAAAACCTGGGTTAGAGGAACATGTGGAGTAGTTTTAAGAAACTGAAAATTATCCTCTCTTTTATTCATCAGACTGAAAACCAAAGAACTTAACAGAGTCCACATAGTCTGTGCTTGTTGCTGGAGAAGGATCTCATGCATCTGATTGAGTCACATATTTAGTATTTCTGGCTAGCTGCTTCAATTTGAATATCAAAGCAGTATACACTGAGAAGCTATTCCACCTGATTAGGAAATATCCTGAGAAGTGGTCCAGAGGAATCCAGAGGAAATGTTTCTCTCAATAAAGATGAAAGTGTTTTATACATTTTATACATTTTATACAATGTATATAATGTCACCAGGAGAACATACGTGTTTCTCCAAATCTGAAAAGATGATAAATTGGTGTTCAAGCTGGCCAGAAGTGCAAGTACCAAGTTGCTTTCTCTCTCTCAGGGAAGGGATTTTAGCATGTTCTGCTTCACAAGAGACCATCCTAACTGCTGCCTCCATTACCATTGCAATTCAATGTTTCTGCATTCACAGTAAAACCAAACAAAAAAAAAAACCTGTGAGGAAACATCCTGAAATAATCTATACCATAAGGAGTGATTAACATGAAGGACTTTCTCTACATACAGAACTTGTAGCAAAAATAAGTTGACCTTCTCAGACCAAGGGGAAATAAAGGAGTGATTAATATCTTCCAGATGTCCTTGTTGGTTATGTTTTCATAGTACAGTCTAGTGCTGTAGCACAGTATCTGAACTACTTTTCAGTAAGGGAAGCCAGGTGTTGCAGGTGGGATAAGGTGTTACTGCTCCCAGCCTACTGCTCTCCATTTCCCAGCAGGACTCCACAGCCAGGGCCGGCTCTGGCTCAGCTGGAGGTGGCACAGCCCCAACACCTCCAGCAGCCTGTGCCTCCCCCAGCCCTGTGCCACACTCCCTGGCTGTCTGCTGAGCTGACAGTGGCATGATGTGCTTCAACAACAGGGAACCAGCCTGGTACTACCTGGAAAGTGACCCAGTTTTTATGAACTCTTCCTGAAAAGTGAAACATTGCTTGCAGGAGTAGCAGAGCTGTAAGTCAGTAGCACTTAGGATGACTGCTGCACTCAGTGACTTCCCATTCAGGAAATTACATGTTGTCTGTGATGGAGGAGCGAGGTGGGAGGCAGCAGCAGCTGGAGCTGCATTTTCTCAGCTGTGCATCTGACAGCTGTGACTGGATACGGTTCAGAGATGGAAAGCATATGCTGCCATTCAGGGCTTTTAACATCAAGTATCTTTTACTGTGTTCATTATCTCCTCACAAAATGAAACGTGACGGCTGGAAATGCCCTAACCTCAATGAAAGGAGAGTCTCAGCAGGGCTCACACAGAGGCCAGGTCTAGCCTACCATAGGCCAGCAATGCTGGCTGTCTCCTTTGCACTGCCACTTGTCTCATTCATTTACACCTGGGGCAACAGGGAGTGCCCTAGGCCTTGTGACAGTGTCCCTCAGAGGTGGACAAGACTGGTTCCACAAATAATTAAATGACATGAATCCATGCAGAAGTTATGTTTTCCTTAGTACCAATGTTTCTCTGTAAAGTTGTATGCAGTTAAGAGGCTGATACCGGTAGCACTTTTTCCATCTATTAGAAAATCCTATTAGCATAGTCCATTAATAATGTCCCACATAATATGCATTATAGTTGCAACCTCCTGAAAGTTGCAAATGCGTCTAGGAATATTTTAGGAAAATGCATACTGTAAATATATATTCTATACTTTTGTAATTGAATTCATAGAGAATTTTAGTTTAGATTTACATTTTTAGTTACAAGAATTAATTTTTAGCTAAGCCTATGTGCTATGAATAAATTGCTTTATGACAATGATAAGGGGCAGTCATGACCTATATAACTAAAATTGAATGGAATAATTAAATTGGAATGACTGTTAATTTTCTAAAAAACTCCTTTAGTTTCTTTTCCAAAAAGAATTTGTTACATCAGAAGCAAAAAAGAACTTAATGTAATTTTCCCAAGAAATAAAAGACTGAATTGGAAATAAAAAGCTGATGTGAAAGTCTGATCTTACTGACATTTATTTGAATGTCAAATATCTGCCAACACCACCATTTTCACATTCCAGGCAATGGCTTCTTTTACAATTTTCAAAAAGGGATGAAGAAGTAAGATTTTTGTAAAAATTATAGTAAGAATAAGAAATGCAGTATCTCCCTCCAAAGTGACAAGGACTGAAAAGAGAAAAATGGAAGCATTACACCTAGGATTTTAAAAACAAGAACTTACTTGGGAACTGAAATTTCCCTTAAAAGTGAATCTCATAATCCTTACTCTTCTTTTATACCAGATAATTATTTCTGATTTGCATATTTACCTTAGATAGAAACTGTTGATAAATTTGCTCAGTGGCACAGAGATGACATTTTAATTACAGAATCACAGTCAGAACTGTATACAGTCCATAAGACTGGAAATAATTTTGGAACAGGAAAACATCTCAAGTCATCTTTTTTCCCCAGATTGTCAATATCACCTCACCACAAAAAATAAGAAGGATTACATTGTGGGCAAGAAAATCTATCTGATGAATCATTTCTGAGGTGAGGGAGAAGTTAGGACTGAAATGAAGGATAAAATTTTCAAAACCACAGTATTTAACCAGCAGAATGCTAATCAATGCATAACCTTTCTCATAAGCGTGAAAACATTGTGATGCAAACACACTTACTACCTAATCTTGTATTTTCTCAAATATATTTTATTATTCATCTTTTTCACTCTGAGGAAAATAAAATAGGTTCTTTTCAGTGAGAATTTTGGGCTTATGTAGAATATAAACTCAAGACAGTTTAGGTAAAAATCAGCCCACTTCGTAACCAAGGTAATTCTGAAAATATTCCAATTCAGTACTTGGAGCAGATTCCAAAATAAGCATCTGTTTGTGTCTCTTGCCATGGAAGGTGTCTTCATAATGATCACACAATAATATATGATAAAGATGAAAATTAGTCTCTGGGGTACCAATAAGATCTCATTTTATATCATGATAGCATCTCTATTAATCAAAGAACAGAAACATCCCTAGAGGGGGCACTGTAACCAACAATTTCTAGCTTTACACAAAGTTTTACATAACAATTAAAATATTATGCTTCAGATAAAATAACATTTTATGCTACTTCTGGAATGCAAATGTATATTATTCAACCATGGCTTCCTTTCTAAGCTCCCACTGTTCTGTTATACAACAGTCGTATCAAGCAAATAATTTAAAAAGTATTTTTATATGATACATTTTGAACTCATTTTTACCTTTTGTAGATGGGTAGCCTGCACTACAGCTTAATAGTATGTGGCAAGAACAATATCTTAATTAGGAACTGGCATTAACATATTTGGAAACATAGAAGCGAATTTGGATCAGTTTACAAAGAATACATACTTCCTATAGATTTCATTTTAATTATTAAATGGTTCTCTGTGCAATCTTTTCTCTACCAATATATGCTAAAATTCTAAAATGGGTAAAGCTATTGTCTTTGCTAAGCAACTAATACAAAAAAAGGAAGTTGCCAGAAGAATGTTAAAAGATCTTAACAATGACTGTTATAACAATGAATGCTAAGGGATAACGAGTAACAGCAGATGTGTGAAGCTTGCCAAAATGTTTACAATTCAGTGAACTGGTACAATTGGTTACACCTTTCCTAAAAGTAATTAATTACCTTTTACGTTAACTGCCTTCAAGTATTTGAACCAAATATTTTTAATCTTCTCTTTTTTTTTTGGTACTTTATCAAGTTAAATTAAAATCAGCACAACTAATCTCATTTAGAAGATCAATTACTTGATAGATAAACCACATAAATGTCTAACAATATTGAGATTATACCATTTGCACTTGCATTTTTATATGTGCACGTAGATAACTGCACGTATGTGAAATGGAGGTCAAAAATCCAGGTCCATTACATTACGCACTCAGGATTCTTCCCAGAAAGAGCTTATTCCAAGATGTAGCCACAATAGTACAGTATTAAAAACATAAGAATATTGGTATCAAACATTACTTCTACACAGCAAAAATGCTTCTAGTGGCAAACCTCCCTTGAGAAAACAAGCTGATCCGTTTTTACATGCAGAGCAGTGAAAGGGTCAGGGGAGACTGGCTTACCTGTGGTTGACCTGATGGTTGAGGTGATGTTGGAGGATGTCAGCGCAGGGATACATTCATCATCTTGGGAATAGCCTGCCTGAATGGCACGCAAGTAACTGTGGCTTCTTGTTCGGAAACATCCAGGGAGGTCAAGGGCATCCATTGCCTGAGCTTCAACTTCACTAAACACTGATTCACACACCGATTCAAATTGCCCATTAACCTCTGCTTCACTCATCTGAATAAACAACAACAAGGCATTTGATTTTTGACTTGCTTTTTTGTGATCATCACGGCCTCAACATCTCAAATGGACACCTGTACATTGATGAAGAACTGTTTTAGCAAATAGTTAAAATGTAGTAATCCCTTCTGATCACATTCACATTGTTCAACTTAGATCATCTGTTTACACATCTCTATTAAATGCATCACACATGCCATACATTAATGTTCCATTCAATATCTTTTGGCGTAGTTGAGGAGGGACCCAAGCCAAACTCACTTCCTGGTTAACTGGGTTAGCCATTCACTTCCATGGAAGAGCCTTTTCTTCAGCAGCATTATATAAAATCTGACAGACACTTCTGCCAGCAGGAGTGCTGTGGAACCCTGCCAGGCAGAGCAGCCCAGCTGTGCCTGCTGGACCCTCCAACATCCCCTTGGGGTATTTCAGCAGCAGCCTCCAGCTCCCTGCAGTGCTTAGGCAGGACCCAGCATCTACCTGCTAGCCCTGCCTTGCAGGCTGGGCATGATCCAACACTGTGCCCTTTTTAGAGGCAATTTTCATGATAAACAGGGCTTAGGCAGAGTGGCCAGGCTTGGGGAACCTATCAGTAGAAAACCATATGTTGCTGTTTTGAAGATTAGTGCCTTAATTCTACCTACAGTGTTTTTCAAATCTTCATTGAAGGCAGCCCTAACTACCTATAAATGTACCTGAATAACTAAATATTATTTTTATCCAAAATCAGATAGGAAGTTTACATGAACAGATAATTGCATGACTTTCTGAAAATAATTATTTTCTGAAAAGTGAGTGCTAGAAATTAGAATCAGTATGAATAATTTTACAAGTTAAATTTATGGCATCACTAAATGGCGCATCCGGTTGATATTAATTTTCCTATACAGCTGCTAAGTGCTCCTAGTGCTTTATTCATTATGGAAAGAGAGTCCCATCAAATGTTTCAAATGTTTTAGGGTTTTGGTTAAGTAAATGGAAATTTTATAGAGATGTTCTGATGATTATGAATAACTGATAATTTTGTGTAAGACATTTTAGCTACTGAAAATCTTCTGAAAAGAATTAAATTACTCTTCATAAAATTTGCTTTTAATAAAGTTAAGTCGATTAATGCAATCTCAAAGAGATAAAAAAATCTTACTCTGAACTAGTTTGCAATACTGTTGATCAGGAAATATATGGTAATTTAGTCCATAAACTCAGTAAGTCTTAGCCACTTATTTTAAACTAAGGTTATTGACAATAGAAAATTAAAAGTTTTCAATCTGAAATTAAAAATATATACCATGGAATTCAGCATTCTTCTTGAGTCTACCCTTTGTCAGGTGTGAAAAAGGAAGGATCTCACAACAAAAAAGCATAAAAAAATCTCACAAATTATACAAACTGCTATTATGTAGATGGAACAAGAGGAGGATGGTGTCATGGAAAAAGAACAGGAAAGAGCAAAGGTTCAGAACTTGATATTTTAATACATTTGCTTGGGGTAATAGCTATTAAATGCATTTCTTAATGGTCTGGAAACAGCTGGACTGTGAGGTAAGTATTTTGTGGCTAGCACAAAGTTGCACAGGTTAGTGAACACTGAAAAAGCAAGGAACTATATCCAGCAGGTTTAGTTAATCTGGCCAATTGAGCAATCTACCTGCAAATGAAATCTATTGTGGACACCTTCCAGGTAATGCACACTGAAATGAAGAATTTTAACCACTACTGAAACCAATTAATTATCATGGACAGCTCAGTGAATATCTCTATTCACAGACATGGTCAAAGAAGCAGAAGATTTTAGACTAGTTCTATGTGGGAACATTGTCAGGTGGCAGCTTACAGCATTTGCTTTGAATGCAGGATTTAATACACATAAAATTTTCTCAACACTAGAGTACAATAAAAAGACAAAAAAAGCAATAAACAGCATAATAAAAAACAAGGCATCAGAATCATGGGAACAGTTTTCACAAGGGAGTTTCCTTGTGAAAAAAATAGTGAAAGGTTTGGAAAATGACTAACTGTTTCTAATTCTAATGTGTGCTACATAACATTAAATTTGGAATTACCTCACACAAATTAAGGAATATGACTGAAGGGCGTTAGTCAGGTTAGCCCCTCCCAGCTCTCTACAGTCAGTGGAGACTGACAAACATTTCCAGGGGGCTCTCAGCCCACTCAGATGTTCACTGTCCTGGAAGAAACTCTTTTGCTCCATTAACCACAGAGGAAGCTTTAGTTGTTGCCTCAGTTAAAAGCCTCAATTTAGATGAGTTGAATCCAGGCCTGAATAGCCATGCAATACAAATCGAATATGAATGAATACGAAATTGCTTTAAAAAGATTTCTCTTTTAACATAACCATTGTGTATGTATACCCTTAGGTGGCTCACTAAATGGTCAAAGAAATATTAAGTACCATGTCTGAGAAGGGGGCAGGGCCCATCTGTCATGAAACAACACAGGGAAGAAAAGTCAGGACCAATAAATATTAGAAACATTGGGAATTTTGTGTGAAGTCCTCTGCTACATAGAACATGTATGTAATTCTGTTGGCTTATTGCTCTTCAGGTGTGATTCAGACCTCACAGACATAAAGCCAATAGGGAGGAAAACTGTACCTTTTCAGGAGTCCCCAGACATAGAATAGTTGATGGGACTAATTCTTTCACCCAAGAAAAGTGAGGGATTTGATTTAGGATGAAACACTCCTCCTTTGGAGCATAGATTTTTTCAATCTATATCTTAATCTGGCAACCCACATTTACTGAAATCAGAGCAGGTATTTTCAGATGATGAGTATTGTAGGAGTGTACTCCTCATGCTCAGTCTGATTCTTCTTAACATTTAAATATTTAATATAGACTGAAAATAAAACCACCAGTATTTATATTTGTAATGAAAAATAAATGGAAACTATAATGTTTGATAGTGTTTCTTTGCCTGTAGCATTCAGTATTCTTGAAATTTTGAGTTACATTCCTCAGAACTGAATTACTTCCACAATTCACATCCTCAGTTTGATATTGATTAAAAAAATGCAAAAACCCTAAAACCATCCACTAGTTACAACTCTCATATCTGCAGTTAACCTATAAGAAAAATTATAACAAGAATTTCCCACCTGACTAACACAGCTGGCCTGACTGAGCGTGCTCACTGCTCTCATATAGCTCTGATTCCTTGAGCGAAACTTTGGGGAATTGTAGTTTGCAGAGGGATCCAGGTTGTGACCCCCAGGCACGTCACTTGCAGTTTGAAGGTAGCTCTGACTACAAAGGAGAAAGGAAGAAAAAAAGGAAAGGGTGTAAAACTACAGATGGTATCAATTAGGACACTAAAGGCAGTAATTTGTATGAGACACACAAACCCACTCCCCTGGGTCCAAATCTTACTTTATAAAGCATCATAGATCTGTTGTAGCCAAACGTCTTAGCACAAGCAGAAAATCTGTCTGTGGCTCTGCTGCCTAGATGGTATGAAATTTTAAGTCTTTGCTCTATTTAAACATCATCAATCCTCCTGGCTATTAATGTTGAACATTGCTAAAATACAAGGTCTAGGTCAACAGGAACAAAAAACACAGCTAAAGCACAGGCCAAAGTAACTAAAAATCTTTTTTCGTAGATAAAAATCTGTTACTTGTAATCTGGTTTTCATCAGGCTTTTAAGCATCAAGACCCCTTTTATCTTCAAAGAATTGATATAGTTTTACAAAAGATTAAAATATTCCATGTTCAGCTAAAAAAATAAATTAATAAGGTGCTCAGAGCAACTGCATGAAGCTCTAGAAATTGTTTTATTACAACACGTTTCCCATTTTGTATGACTGGGACCATAACAGCACAGTGAGCCCTCTTCAGTATGCTTTCACACAAAGAGTATGCTAGTCTCCATGTTTTGTTTTAAATGTATTGATAACATTCCAGAAAAATAAATAAAACTGAGGAAAGTGCAGTACTTTGCCTTGAATACAAAAAATTAAACTCTGGTACACCAGAGTTCTCAGAACCTTTGTAAATCAGATTTTAGAACTTTCCCCAGCACATCAGCACAGAAATGAACTAATGTCCCAGATGATATTTGTTTTCATACAGAAAATAGGCAGCTTTTATATTTATTCCTTAAAGGTAGCTTGAACTAAAACAGTTTCTGGGAAGGTAGATTTGTGCCAGTTGAATGCCTAATATTGGCCATACAGTTACTTCATGCTGAGCTGGCAGAGTTGGTCTGTGCCATGTGCCTGGGCTGCTGGAAATTTCCCTGTGAAGGGTGAAATTTCCACTCTGGAAGAACCAGATCACTCAGCGAGTGAGAAAGCCACAGGTTCAACTCCTGCTGCAAGATGAAGCACAAACCAGAGTTTTCTTTCTGAAACCATCTTTATCAAACATGGAGCATGACCACAGGCTGGTGCTTTAGGAAGACCTCAGCCTTCCTCATGGAGCAGACACAACCTGAGTTTGGATGCAATCCCTGAGGAGCACTCTGGGAGGAATCTCAAACAATTTATCATGGCTTTGCCTAGAAAAGCAGAGTATTGAGATCCAGCTCTCTGTGTGGCCATGTCCTTTGATGTCTGATGTGTGATGATCCAGTATTCCCTCACACCACCAACTGCAAGAGCAGATGGGATTTAGAGACCCTTATACCTGGGAGGTCTGTTCTCAGGCATTTCCATGTGTTCTTCTATCTCAGGGTCAACATAGACATAGCCCTGCTTCCTCAGTGCATCTGCCTTAGATCCACAGAATCATTTACTTTGGAAAAGGCCCCTGAGATCATTGAATCCAGCTGCTAACTGAATGCTGCCAAGTCCACTGCTAAGCCTTGTCCCCAAGTATCACACCTACATGTCCTTTCAATATCCCCAGGGATGTTGACTCAGCCATTTCCCTGGGCATCCTGTTCCAATGCCTGATAATAATTTCAATGGAGAAATTTTTCCTAATAAATTTGCTGGAGCATATCCAAAGAAGAGCAACAGAGCTGGTGAAGCAAAAAAAGGATGCATTTTGTTTTCATCTTTGTTCAAGGGAGACATTCTTTCAAAATCCCAAGAAATTTCCCTGGAGAAAAAACCAATTCATTTCTTCCTGTCTACTCCTTTCCTTCTGTAACCTCATGCCAGAGATAAACTATGTGGAAACTATGCTATAACTGCTAAAACCAAAATGAAAATGTATGAGATTATTGCAGGTGTTTGCTCAGAGGTTAATTAAGTCATTACAGTCAAAGTGATTCTATGATTAAGATAACAGGCTGATAGTGGGTCTAATTTGGTTCCAGATGATAAAAACAAGAACATTTTTTGTTCCCATAGGTATGAAGACAAATATAATAGATTAGGTGAAGTGGTGTAAAGCCTCACTATCCACATTTAGTTGCTGGATATAACTAAACTGCCTTTCTTCTATAGATAGGCTGATGATTGACAGCTTCTCTGCGTCATTCTGATTTTCATATATGCTTTACTTACCCATGGAATCACAGAATGGCTCATGTTGGAAGGGACCTTAAAGACCATGTAGTTCCAAACCCCTGCCAAGGGCAAGGACATCTGCCACTAGACCACATTGCTCAGAGCCCCATCCAGCCTGGCCCTGAACACATCCAGGGATGGGGCATCCACAGCTTCTCTGGGCAACCTGAGCCACAGCCTCACTACCCTCACAGTCAAGAATTTCTTCCTAAGATTTAACCTAAATCTCTAAGTTCAAAAGTGGTCACCCCTTGTCCTATCACTACTTGCCCAGGTACAAAGGCCCATTTAGGTACTGGAAGGTTGCAAAGGAGCCTTCTCTTCTCCTGGCTGAACATTCCCAGATCTGGCAGCCTGCCTTCACAGGAGAGGTGCTCCAGCCCTCTGATCATCTTTTGGCCCCCTGTGGACCTGATCTAAGGGCTCCACATCTTTCTTGTGCTGAGGACTCCTGACCTGGACATATTACTCCAGGTGGGGTCTCATGAGAGACTTTTAATCTGTCTGGTATTGCCAATAAACTCTTTGATGTTGTTATGTTAGTATTTTTCAAAACATGATGTTGTTATGTTAGTATTTTTTCAAAACAAATAAGTCCCTCCTGGATGTTCTGCTTGCCATCATCAGGTGGCAAAATCTAAATTCTGAGTTCATAAACAGTTTGTTAAAGATACGTTTGCGATTTCATTAAAACATGGGCTACATTAAGAAAAGATAGAAGGAATTAAATTAAATTAGAAATTACTGCATGAAATACTCAAAATTAATTAATTGAAACCTGATTCTAATTACTATCCCCTTCTAAATAATGATTTAAAACCTAGTATTTAATTAATCACATTCTGGTTCCTTGTTAGGTATTTCTTTCACTAAATACCATCAACAATTTTTACAGCAATAATTTCTTATGAAAAGAAGCCCAGTATTCCATAGTACTTCTAAGCAGCTGAGTTTTGATGAATGAGTGTGGATATTACCTGATAGTTAAATGATTTTTCATTTATCAGAGGAGATTAATTGATTCATGGAACTGAAGCAAAGTAAAAGAAATATTACATATAAAGGCTATAAAAGCCCATAAAAGCAATTTTACACTCATTTGAGTAACACTTTGAAATTTTCCTGAAAAATAGAAATTATTAGTTTTCATTTCTAAGATATAATCTCAAAGTTATTGTCTAGGATAATTATGTCAATGATAGTGAAAATTATGACCTTCCTATAAACATGATCCAGGAAGTGAAATACCAGTTACATGGGGAAGTTGCTCTCAAATCATCTGTTACCCAAGGAAATCTCATGCTTGTCAACAGTGCTAGAAAACACAGTCAACACCTGGCCTTAGTAAAAAAATGCTGACTTTTTAATGACATCCACTCCATCTATAAGCTTAGGAATAAAATTCTTGGCCTTCATTTCCAGAGCATCAAAGTTATTTTGCTTTGAAAAAAGAAAATTATTTTCTTTTATGTTCTGTAGCAGCATAGATGATCTTATATCTCAGCTGATCACTGCAGAAGGGCAAGGCAAGCATGTGCAAATGAGATGTTTTAACAGATCATCTTCAGGACCACTAAAAAAGTATTCATAGTAACATCAAAGAGGTGGCTCTAAAAATCAGCACTATGGAGAAGAAGGAATAGGGTGAGACTAACAGGAAAAATTAAATTAGTATGTCTGCTCTCTTTCCACTTGCTTTTCTGAATAGACTAGATTTTAGGAAGAGATCTCCTTTAAAAGCTTTTCTGCCCCCAAGGGTTACTTTCCATTTTCCATTGGCTTCCGAAGAAGTTCATGGCAGCCAGGCAGAGGTCTTAAATTTAATGAGAAATATCTTATCTGAAAGAAAGGCTCAAAGCCTAAAGAAATTTTGGGGAAAAAAGCACTTCCATGTAATGACCTTACAGCTGTTGAGAACCTCTGCTCCAAAAGTGAAGGACTCCCAGTGAAGGTAGCTAAATTTGCAATAGCAGATTCAGCAGTCAGCAGATTGCCTGAGTGTGTTCAGGGAGGAAAAATACTGTATTATAACCAGATAAAGTGAGCTATAGCATGACATGTTTATCTGGGACAGTATAACTGATAGCATAGCTGGGATAGCCTGTTACCCTGGCACAGAGTGAATGGCAGTGAGGTTAGGCTTCATATTCCAACAAAAAATAGATCAAGAATAAGGGAAGAGATGGTAGTCCAAAAGCAGTCTTAAGCAGTTGGTAACAGTCTTGCTTACAGTCTCCATTTTCTTGAATTTCTCTAAACTGCAAAAACTCAGGCTTCTGTATCCAAACCTCGCATGTCCTGATGCTCCTACCTGAAAGCTGCCTCTTCCTCCATGCTCAGAACTCATGCCAGAACCCCCAAGGACAGGTCTTTTTCATTCTTGACTCACCCAGATCCTAATCTTTACTGTTTCCTCTTTAAGTCCTAGCTAACAGTTTCCTGTTCAAGATGTTCTAAAACACCCCCCAGAAGTCATCATTGGGCCACTTATCCTTCTGTCCTCTGCAGATTACAAGAGTACCCCTAACACCTCTATTTGTCATCAAAGTCCTGCTCAACCTGCTGAGGCCACCTAATCCCATCCCCTCACTTAGGAGACTGCCACTAATCCAAAACCTCCTCGACTTCTTGTGCTAACTGTTGTGCTAACTAACTGTTCTTGCCCACACTTCATCAAGAGTAAAGTTTAAGAGCAGAATGGGGGAAAATAATTGCAGGAAAACATCTGTTACTTTAACCTTACCACAAGTAACAAGATGTGCTAAAAAAACCCCAAACCCAAAGAAACTA